AAAGGAGGCTAATGTTGACCCGTGATGATGTTTAGTCGCCTCATTTAGACACTTGTTAGCAACTCCTGTTTTTAAAATTCACCAGTGGGGTATATTTACTGACGTGTTTTATGTCGTAGAACAAAGCGTTAGGACTCATTCCTGCACCACTTTATTGACCATTGTTGACAGCACGTGCAATTTATGTTGATAACGCTGGCAGAAGATAAGAATAGCAAGCATCCCCTTTGTGCCTTGGCAGTCTCAAAGTGGACCTATCATGCTATATTTGAATAATATAGTGTAGGACCATACCTATATAAGGCATATTTATACTTTTTATTTTTCAAAATACCAAACAGATCATGCATTTTAGCCATTCCTCATTTCGCTCAATGTAACACTGTCTTTGCATGGGCTGATTCTGTGAGAACAGCATCACCTACAGGCCTGGCATATGTACTACAGCGTCTCCAGCGCTTTCGAACGGCAATGTCCGTGGCTGTCTCGTCCTGATTGGTGGAGTTGGCCCAATAGCCGTAGCGCCACTTCTGTGACGTCATAGAAGTGTTCAAATCTGGATCAGTCTGTATCAGATCCGTTGCAGCCCCTTTTTTTGGGTATGGAGGAAAATAGAGAGGGTTGTGTTTTCTGACACTTGGTGAGTTCCCTGGAACACCGGGGACACATATTCATGTATAAAAGACGTACAAAAGTGCATTTTGCATGACAGGTCACCTTTAAAAGACAAAAATAATCCGTTTGATCAAACTATTTCATATTTATGGAGTTATTTCGACACTTGCAGATTTTTTTGCCAAGCTTCTTAAACGGCTGTATTATTTTCAAGAAATCCTTAATGACTTCACCACTCGCTGCTAATGCTATTGGCTACTGGACCACTAATTCTGATTCATGATGTTTGTTTTGGCTCAGTAATGATGCTACGGAGAAAGTTGTTTTATTTTGACAGTCTATCTTCTGAATAGGCTCACATCAACAAAAATATAAAGTACATTTTTGATCATGCCCATGGTGCACCATGATTTGGATGTCGTTCCATCTCACCACTTATCTGATTTCATCTCTCCGTCAGTGTTCTTGTCTCTAATGCAAGAATCCCATCGTGTTACTCATTCTCTGTCTCATACAGCTTTAGTGTGTGTGTGTGTGTGTGTGTGTGTGTGTGTGTGTGTGTGTGTGTGTGTGTGTGTGTGTGTGTGTGTGTGTGTGTGTGTGTGTGTGTGTGTGTGTCTGACCAATTGCAATGATTTACTGTGTTGCCCTGTCTTTTTCACAGACGGAGGTAAATTGGCCGCTGCCAGGAAAGCTCCAGGTAAGTTAGATGATTGAACTGACACATTCATTAACAAATATGTAGGAATTGGAGAAAAACTAGCTATCTATTCTTCACATGTCTCATATTTTTACCTAAAAAAATCTCTCCTTTAATGCTAACTCCTTTTTTACAGCTGGAATGAGGAGAAGAAGGAAGATGGTTAGGCGTCACCACAAGCCAAGGCAGTCAATCCAATAGAGAGAAAAGACCTCTGGCTCACCGCAGGGACTGAATGCATCTCCAGTGCTCCTGGTAGAGTGCTGGAGGATAAAACAAACTGTGTACCAATAGAGAGAGAGATCAAATCAATCTAGCATTTGTTGTCGAAAACACCAGTAAAAAGGATTGTTTACTATTCCACATGAACCATACTTGTTATGGAATGGTATGTTATAGTATTGCATTTCCAATAGGAAAAATAGCATTTAAGTACAAGGGAAATATGGACTTTTACCATGAGATAGATGGTGTGTCAGGTGAAATATATTTACCACTGAGAGATATTTTTTATGTCAATTTAAAACAGATGGCTTGGGAAGACTGTTGTTTGCTTTTTATAGTGCTCGAATTTTGTACAATTTATGCATTTTTAAGAATATACCAAAATGAAATCCTGTTTTTTTTAACCTCTGTAAATTATCACATGCTGATTAAAAAATAAATTTCATTTGTATACTGTTTACAGTTGTCTTTCTTTCCATCTTCATTGAGATTACTGCCGTGTATGTCCTTGTTCGACCAGGATTCACAATCAACTATTTGTTTTTACCTCAAGGTAGAAGTGGTATCACATCGGCACCTTCCTCGTTAACATTAAAATTGCATGGTAAACATGCCCAATTGAAAATCCATACATTTGTAAAGATAATTTTTTTGCATGTCCTGCAGAAATATATCTGCATGATAAGAATATGTTAGCCACCGTTGTTCACAAACATATGACCCATTTGAGGAATTATATAACAGTTACTCTATGCTCTATTTCACTGTAGCACATTAGACAAGTATGCATCTCAGATTCTACTCAGTTTATCCAATCATATTTTCCTTCTATAAAGAAAAGAAGATGAGACAGTCAGCTAGAAATTATGAAAAAGTGCTCTGTGGAGTGGGGCTCTGTTGCAAGATCATTAACATGATCCAGGGCTGCAGCAGCGGAGGGAGTCGACTGCAGCAGAGGGGAGTATAAGTGTGCACAAGGATTGCAGATTTAACGTCACAGGGTGCTGATAAAATACTAAGGAGAAGAGGTCATGCATCTAAGAAGCTGAAGAGTCCTTTCAATTGAAACAGTCAACACAAGGATTATTAACTACTTAGAATCTGTTGATTTAGTTTTGGCATGTTTATAATTTATTTCCCGGATGAAATTCAGTTTAAACCCAGTCTAAATGTATCCATCATTTCCTCTCTTTAAATAGGTTTTTGTTACCGTAAAAATGCTTGGGTTGATCTTTAGATCCTCAAAAACAGCATGGCTTACCATTATCACCATAGTTGTGATTCAAGCCTGCTCAATGGTTCCCCATGAAGCAACTGCAGGGTATACAGAATGGCCATATTGTTTCACTGAAAATCAGTCGGCGCAATACATCTATAGGATAAAACTCCCAAAGATGCATTCAATCCAGAATCCTTGATGTGATTATGATAATGTCATCCTTTTCCAGAACCCAAAGAAGGCCAAGAATTAAGTCACAGCCCTCCAAAGATTTACAATACAAAATCATTTCAATGTTGATTAGTAAATAAGTTGTGATCAAAGTGTCCTTGTAGTCCTTAAAATAAAATATTAAGTTTTCAGCAAACGTTGGTCCATAGCTATAAAGATTAAACCAATAGTTGTGTTATTTTTTCATGTACTACAGATGTTGTTTCTTGTGTAATGTTTTTGTAGTCAAGCATTTTTTTTAAACAACTTACCACTCGATAAAATACATATTTATTTTGTAATGCCTTTAGAGCAGGGTCATAATTATTCCTGTGTTTTTAACAACTGATTTGTGTTGCTTCCTCCCTTTGTCTTCAGTTCATTGATCATCAAACATAAATGTGCTTAATGAATATGCAAATATTATAATATTTCTTGGTGACTTCACTTGAGCTTGTCACACACATGGAGTAAGGACAAGTCTCAGCTCTCCGCTCTACTACTCTTGGTGAACACACATTTTGAACATAGTGTACTTCTATAAAAATACACCGTACTCCCCCCCAGGAACCGACCCAAAGTCTTATTTCACTCTTCCCTTCCAAGCTTAGTGCCTGGCAGATCTCTTGTGTTACATCCAATTCTAAATTAAAACCAGGGGACCACAGCTATGGATCTGAAATGTGTGGGGTTTGAAGGTAGTCCCTGCAGAGACAGGATTAAAGTGCCAGCCATGATTAACTTTATGATTTAGGTTCACTGCACATTTCCTCACCACTCAAACTGTGCCACTTCAGCTGATCTCAGACAATGTGCTTAGATTTTGTGTGCTATAGAAAATTAGGTACAATGATAGATGTGGATGAATAAAATATAGTGCTTGCTGATTATGTCAATTACATTTAAATTGTATATCTTTTTAATCAATTAGTTGATGCTACATCATACCTGCTGAGTAGATCATGTCAGACTTTGAAAACATCTAGCCTAAGCTATCTTGAGAATAAAATCGTAATATTAAATAACTGCAGACATTTAATGTCCATACAGTATACATGTTTTAAGTTAAGTTAAGAGCTTTGTTATATCTGTGCCTTACATATTCTGTCAGAAAACACTTGCTATTCTATGAAATGGTTATGTTTTTCAAACCAATATTTCGCTGTCACAAACAAACTGCTAATATAGAAATCAAAACAGTGAGAAGGTAAAAAAGATGAAGGCACATGTAGAGTCAGACAAATATCAAACACTGTTGGGTTCATTTAGCCATATTATCCAACAGGGTTTAAGAGTAGATGACGGTGCTTTGCCCAGGAGAATTATACATAGCTGAAGTATGACTATGTTTTCTGAGGATTGACAAAGAGAAACACATGCAAACGCCCAACCAAAGCAAAGCAGGATTTTTGTGCAGATCACTGAATCCATTGTTGCTTCTGTGGCCAGTAGTTCCTCTGTAGAGAGAGGAATTATAGTGAGCTGTGTGTCTGTGGAGAGAGTGATGTCACGCCTTGCGGATGCCCATGGGAGCACAAGCCAAAGAGGCTAAAATGGTGTGTGTGTGTGTGTGTGTGTGTGTGTGTGTGTGTGTGTGTGTGTGTGTGTGTGTGTGTGTGTGTGTGTGTGTGTGTGTGTGTGTGTGCGTGTGTGCGTGGGAGGTAGAGAGAGAGAGAGAGAGAGAGAGAGAGAGAGAGAGAGAGAGAGAGAGAGAGAGAGAGAGAGAAGTACAGAGAGAAGCGGTTGTGAAGTACAGGTGGTGTACAAAGTCAAATATTTGACACTAATTAATTACAAAGGCAGTCTTGTCACATTTTGCAGACATATTTTCCTTAGGTGTTGAAAGCACACCTTGTGTGGTCTCGTGACTAGAAAGGGTTACATAAAAGTGCAAGTGCATGCATGTTGCTGCAATATTGCTTTGTAAAAATGACATTAACACAAAAAAAGTTTGCCTTGAGACAAGAGTATTTTGGTATTTGTATTTGGCCTTTTTCAAGCACTTAATTGATGTCTTAAGGAGGTCCTGCTTTTTTGGGATTCCCCCTCTTTCCTGTAGTGTATTATATATACGTTTTTGTGCATAAAAATGGTCGGCAAAGGCTAATATCCCAAAGTTCACCATGTCCCCACCAGCACTGCACCCTCCTTCCTGAGACTCCTTGATTGGACTCCTTTGTTTACTTCTGTAATACATCACTTTGTAACAGTTGTGCTTCTGTTGGCTAGCGGTCCCACACATTGTGCGGGATAGGTTAAGGGACAGGACGTTTCTGACATATCTCCAAGAAGTTGATCAATCATTGGATTAACCAATCAAAGCAGACTGGGCTCTCATTTCAGACCGAGGGGGAAAAAGGGTTCTGCAACAAAGGCAGTATTTCAAATATAAAGCACTTGTCAAGAAGCATAAAATACAAATATGACCCTTAAAATGAGCATAATGTGTCCTCTTCAATTATGTTGAATCTAATTACTGGTTGATGTCAACCCATACTCTAAATTCACCATTTAATCATATGAAGGGATCTGATTACACCAAACTCACAGCCTGGCCTTGACTAGTCTCTAACACAGAACATGCACAGTGACATCATCCAATACCAACCATGATCACAAGAAGGATTTTCCAAAGAAACCCGGGGTCCAAAATCAGGGAGGGAGAAGGACGGAAAATGAGCCACGGTCGAAAATAGACCAAGGGAGGGATACAGTATATGGACACAAAGGGAGGGAGGTTGTGTGCTATCTGTCACACTTGCTGATACCAGTTACGAGACAGAGACATGCCCAACACATGAAGCTCAGCGCAAGTTCTTTCAGGAAGACTGGGTATATATACATTCACTCCGCAGCTGCATATAATCAGCTCATCACAGGCGTTCTCTTTAACCTATTACATTTCAACTCATTCTCCAGCAGCCAATCACCGTGCTGCAGCAACATTTTAAAATGGTTCTCCTCTCTCCTGCAGTCAGCTGTGATTTCAGGTTTTCATGCTGCCGCCCACCTTCTCCCCATCCACCTCCATCATATCCAGTGCCAGGAGAGCTAATCCAAAGACCTCATCACCTATATAATCACGGCTGCATTTCCCCCTTTAGATATACGATTTCAGGATTGGGGTCTAATCGCCAAAGACTTAACATTTATCATATGGCATGTGTCAAAATGAAGTCTCTCCTGATGGAACTGTTTTATGTGAGTATATAGGCTGTTCCTACTGATGTTGGGGTGTCTGTCCTTTTCTCTTGATAAGTACGGCTTTCCCTCAAGGCAAAACAAAGCTGGGAAGCGAGCAGCAACCTATAATTATGTGGAGTTACATACATGGACGTAAACATAAGGGTTGAAGTTAATGTTGACTTGTCCTTGACTTTCAGTACATTTATGCTGAGACAATTAAGTTATTGTAATTTAACTGCCTGAAATGAACACATTCTATTTCAACAAAATAGAGCTTTGTAAGTTAAGATAAGATAAGATAATTATGATAATACTTTATAGATCGAAATGTGGGAAATGTTTGTGTTGCAGCAGCATAAAAAGACATGGCATTGTACAATAAAAATGTAAACACAAGAAATAAACAAGAAAGTAGAAAATATACATTGTTGAAGTTGTATTCCACATTACAATTAAGACTTTCAGTATTTGCATTTCCTCATAGAGACAAAATATATTTTTTTCTGCCATTTATGTCTACTTGATTGACTGTTTGGATCTATTCAAATTAGTTTTTTTTAAAGAGTAAAACAGACTGGTTTTTGTTTGGCTTGTTTGACAATGGCATTACAATGTGATTACACTCAACAATCAGTTGCATCAATTGGTTCATTTTATTTCTGAATTCAATTTTCATTGTAAATCATTAAAAAGCACAGTTTGAGGTTTGTGGCTACTTCAATTTATAATTACATAAATATGCAAACCACCACACATAACTCTTCCTTACTGTTTATTTCTTCAACTGTGTTTCTGCTGAATGTTATACTTTATGTGGTTTCAGGCCTCATAGATCATCACACGTTGTCTCGTAAATAAGCCCAGGAGTCTCAGTGAATGTATCAAACAACGATAAGTGAAATATTATTTAGCTTGTGGTTGGATTTACCAGGAAAACCTTACTAGTTCTATAAATCAAAAGCATATGAGAGTATGCTTTATCAAAGAGAGCTTTCCTTGCCACGACAGGCAACTGTGTTTGGACTGTTTAGGGATGGGGAATTGGTTTAATATGGTCAATTTTATGAAATGATAGGATTTTCCATGGGCATTTTTGGTTTATCTTCTCACTGGCATAGTTTTAGTTTAGCAAATTATGTCATTTATATGGATTATATAAATACAGATGATAACGAGCAAGACAAAATCAAGTTTTCCATAAAAATGAATGCCTGTGGCTTCCTGCTAGTGATGTATACATGTGTTCTTGATATTAAAATATACTTTGCTGTTCCTCATACAGTGATATACGTTCGGCATCTAAAATAAAACACTGAATTGTTTTTTGTAACAAATGTTTGTTAATTTGTATCTGAGGTTTTCCAATCACTTCAACAAGCACATTAAAACTCCAACACAATCTACTTTTGCCATTTGAAGCAGTGGGTGACAATTTTGGTGGAGGAGACCACATATTAACGATATATCTCCACAAGAGGTCGAGGGGGTGTCCATATGGCCATCTGGTGTGCTGAGTGCCTCCCAAGAAACATTTTCTTACACATTGATGGTATACCGATTTATTACATTGGATGGGAGACAAAGAGGGTTTTTCTGAAAATCATTAACCTTGACATGAAAGCTTGATGCGAAAGTGCAGTACAAAGTGTGAAGTCTAATATGAGTTTACCCTTGCATCACACAAGACCAATTGCACACTTAAAAACAAGCAACAGGAATGATATGTCAGAACACATACAAACATTGGATTAATTCTGAAAGCATAAGGCTTTTGATCAAACACATAAAACATCCATTACAGCATGTAGCTTACTTAACAAAAAGGCTATGCTCATGTTCGATTTCGATGAAGTGCTTGTAAGTCAGCTGGAGAGAAATGTCTGCCCGTGACAATTTATTCGATAAGAAATTATTTTATCTAGATATTTGTTAATGGAGCAAAACATTTTAAGGCAATATTTCAAGATCTCCAAAAAAAAAGAGCAAAATATGTTGAATAAAATGGAAAATAACTGACTTTCCACATGCATGATGACATTTATTTTCCACCTTTTGCGTAAGCTGGTGATCTTTACATCAAATTCAGTGCTTTTATAATACAATAATAGCTTAGGACCACTTTTAAAACAATTCTGTTTAACTTGCCCCCTAGGGCATTGAGTAGACATTACAGGAAACTGCTCCCCATCAGCGTACAGTTTGTGTTTCCTATTTTTCCAGGTGTTTCCTTTATTTTGGTATAGATTCTCTCCAAAACTATATGAAGGGAGGCAAACACAGCCTGTACACCAGACCGTAACCTGTTACACAGTAAGTTTGACAGACTTTGTAAATCATAGGTTGTCAAATAAATCACATGAAGTTACAACTTCAAAAATGGTTAACAGCTTAATGAAAACAATTGGAGTAGCATTCAAGAAAAAAGAAGCTACTCAAAAGTGTACTATGTCATAAATCTTGTGTGACAGCTTGAATCTGAATAAATACAAGCTGGCGTTACAGTATCAGCAGGGTTATTTTTGTTAGAGTCTGCACAAGCCGTTTTCATTTTTCAGCAGGACTCTGTACAGGATAATGACCATGTGGAAAGGGATGTCTGACTCATGCATCAGTGTGGGGTCTCTGCAGCCCCCAGATGACGAATGAGACAGGATCATAAGTACACAAGGACAAATATTCGAGGATAAGTTTTTTTCACCTGAGTGCAAAAGTGTTTTTAAAGTATTTTTTTCCTCCTGGCTACAGCAGATTAAATGGTCCTCACACCAAGCTATGGAAGTGTGGTGCTCACAAGTGTAGCAAAACATGTATGTATGTGTGTGAGAATGTTTGTGAGAATGTGTTTGTAATTTATACCAGTGTGGGCTACAATAGGTCGTCGATCCATCCAAATTTGTTTTGTTTATTGTTCCATTTGACCTACCAAGGGATAGTAGTTGAAATTATTAGGAATGCCTATTAGAAATGATGAGATGCCTTTGGATGTATTTTCTGGCTAAATAATGCTGTGATAATGATAAACAGACTCGACCATAATCAGTGTTGTTTAGATTTGGTCGACCTTCTAGCTCTGCAGCATAGGAACCTGAACATGGCAAATGTCAATAACAGCAGTACAGTCGCTATAGTCAGCAATAGTAGCAGTACATCTACACCGTAGTACGAGTACCAGGGCATCTTATAAGCCTCTGTACGCAGGTGAGGTGCCCCCTTATTACGCATCACATATTCTACCCAGAAGGTGGCCTTATCCATCGGGGTCATTGGCTGATCTCTGTGCAAACGTGACAGTCTTTGCATGTTCTGTCTGTAGCTGTCGTGATGGAGCACTTCATTTATGCCTTGCTCAAAACTGTGTCCGCTAACATCAGCTAGCTCAATTATCTTTCCGGCGCCTCGGTGTTGCAGACGTAGAAGATTGTCATACTGGTCAAAGAACAATGGTATACCGAGCACAGGGACCCCGTGGTAAATGGCCTCCTGTACGCCGTTGGTTCCCCCATGAGCTACAAAGACTTTTGTCTGCGGGTGGCCAAGGAGGTCCTTCTGCGGCATCCAGTCCACTATCAGGGTGTTGTTGCCCAAAGTAGAAGGACGCTCACCTTTGTGCCTCCATATCACCTGATCAGAAAATGAAATCATTATGAATTGGTTTTGTGTCTGTACAAAAGATATAATGATGATTCCATTGCTGCAGCCTGCATCTACTTATCATAAAACTATAAATTATAGAATCAAGTATTATTATTATTATTATAATTGTCAATGTTATGGTGCGTTCATACCGGACATTATTTCTGTCTTTAGGACGTTGTTGTGAGTTTGGACGGAGCCTATACAGGTTAGTTTAGCCTGATCGATCCGATCTTCACTTTCAGAAAACACGCATTTTAAAAGGTTTTGTCTGGACACTGCACATGAATTCATGGTTTTTACTAACCAGTATCAGTAGGCCTATGTAGTCATTCCGGCATCATTTTTGAAACGTGTATTACAATAACATCACAGTAAAATATGTTAATTTAGTTGTAGTTGGTTGGTTTCTACCACAGTATTTACATGGAGATAAGCCCCGCCCCCTGGCCAGCGCGTCTTGTTTGAATGATGTGAATAAACACAGTTGACAGCCGCGGTGAAACTCGAGCGATCAGAGGTGTCCGGTGTGAACGCAGCATTACTATTGATAATTACCAATTATAAACTAGCAGTTTTCAACATTTCATGAAATAACACAATTTAATCTCTGAGCATGTGTTACCTTCTGAGGCATCTTGGCAAAGACGCTGGCGATTTCATTCGCGACCTCTTTGGGCAAAGCATTCACATAAGTCCCCAGAGTCATGATGATTACTCCATGCTCCCCAGCACTCTGAACAAAGTCCTCCAGGTCTGCTGGTAGTGGTTGGGCTGGTTTGCACTGGAACCCTCCTATGTAGATGACATTTGGCATTGTTGGCCGAGGGAATTCAAACACAAAATCCGACCTGAACAGCCAAATGTCTGCTTCCTGGAGAAGCGAAATGATGTCACATCCACCCTTGATGTATTTCTCACACATGGCATCATAGACCGGCCCCACCAAGAATTCCTGCTGGAACACTATAATGCCATAGAAAAAAATATTCTTCACCCTCTGGAAAAAAGTCATTTTGTCCGTTAATCCTGATCCTGGAACTGGGATATAGGACAATGGTGACGGAGCTATCACAAAGTGGCCTTCTCCGCTGGTGATCCAGCGAACATTGAGCACCAAAGGCAATTTCAAATACTTTGCTAATACGACCCCTGGTGCAATAGCTGGGTCAGTGAGAAAAAGATCATATTGGGAATCCTTCAAGCTTTTGACCATCATTTCATCATCTAAGATTTGAGGGAGGGCATAAGACCAAATTGAATGAGCACGAGCAATCATAGAGAGGAAATCCTTGGTGAGTTTGAGGAAAGTAAATGCTGATGCACCCTCTCGCTGCGCCTGAAAGATTGCAAAAGAAAATGTTTTAAAGTGTTGAAAAGTAATCAACTTAAAGGTCCCATGTCATGGCCATTTCCACTGATCATAATTCCATTGTTGAGGTCTACTAGAATAGATTTATATTGTGCAATTTTCCAAACTCACATTGGTTTCTCAAACAGCATCTCTGTAAACTACGTGTATTCACTGAATTTCACTCTCTGCCTTTAACGGCTCGTTGTAGCTCCAGTAGCTCCAGCCCCCACCCTCCCTGTGAGCACAGTGTGCTCTGATTGGTCGGGACGTTGTGAATCGCGCTAAGCTCCGTGGAGGTGTTGTTTCCTTGTTTAGCGATACACAGCGAAGCACAGCCAAACTCATCCTGAGCACACACAAAGTCACAGACGAAGTAAAAACAATAAGTGTGGCTTGATATTGAGTAAGAAAAAGGTTGATAAACGCTGTGAGAATGGGTCTGCAGAGAGAATTTCGCCGCGATCCCAACTGTCTGTTATCAGC